TGCTTGGCCCCATCAAGGACTGCCTTCCTTGGAACTCCATCCCTCACTGGTCAGGTCCTCTCTTTTTCATTATCCCTGGGGCGTAGTCTTACCTTTCTGCTCTCTTTTCATGGATACATTTTCACTTCCCAACAGTGCTGGGACCAATGACCATACTGCTTATGCCTCCAGGGTTCAGATGGCACATTGCACATGCAGACACTTCCTTGGTCAAGGTTTGCTGACGATGAGCAAAATGGTTGGTTCTCTTTCTACCTGGAATGAGAGTGGAGATGGAGAGAGGCACCTCTGTGTTCTACTCACTGGGGGGCTGTGACCCCAGTGCCTGGATTTCAGCTTGTTGATGGCTACTGAAGCCATAAGACCCATGGGGACAGTAAAGCAATGCTCACAGGCCCGCTCCCCTAGAGACAGTGACTATGGAGCAAAGGAAGAGGTGGGAATGGTCTTTCTGGTTCTTACTCCAGGACTGGCAGGAAGGGGAGCTGACATGGAGAGTGGGGGAAGGGCTACTCAGGGTGCTAAGCCCAGCTTCCTGTCTGGATTTTCCTTGACTGCTGCCGGGGGCCTATCTTAGGATGGTCACAGCTGCAGAAATAGATCTCCCCTTTCACCTGTTCTTAAGCAAGGAAGACCTTGCTAACTTCCTGTCAGAAGAATGCGTGCTTTGGTAACTTTTCCAGTATGGGAGGCAGTACTGGGACGCCGGTGCTGAGTCATCACGAAGCCCCTGTCTCTGTCAGAGTGACAGGGAACAGACCCTCTGCCTTCCTCACTCGCCTGCCCTGGCCCCCAGCCTGCTCCTACAAAAGTCTCTGTTTCTCCTGAACTTTTCAGATGAGTCAATCGGGCTCTGGGACCCCGAAACCAAGCCTCCCTAACCACTCGCTTATTCACTCAACAAACACAGCCCCCTTGCCCGCACTAACCCAGGCGCAGTTCTAGGGACGAGCAAGGGGCGGGGAGGGGAGCCCGGAGCAGCGCGGCGGGAGGTGGACATGCCGGGGAGGAGACCGGCCTCCTGGTGGCAGGGGAGGGCTCCTGGGGACCCCAAGTCCGCGGAGGAGGAGAGAGGAGGGAGCAGGGAGGGGGAGGACCCAGGAGCACGGGCGGGCTCCGCGCATGCGTGGGAGGAGACCTTGGCGTCCTCGGCGTCGCCAAGGCAACCCGCGCCAGCCATGGCCTCTGGGGCGGGCGGGAGCTGGGGTCGCTCCCCACCGCAGAGCGCAGTTCCGACGGTGAGGGCTGAGCCCGGGAGCAGATCCTGCCTTAACTTGGGGGACGGCAGAGTGGGTGGGGTCCTTGGAGGGGCTAGACCCTGGAGCGGGGGAGCGGGTGTGGGGAGGTGAGGAGAGACAACCCCAAACCGAGAGGAAGAGGCGTGGCAGGGAGCAGGGAGGCCGCGGGGCAGGGAGGGGAGAACCCGGCCCCTGCGGCGTTAGGGAGTCCACTGGCCAGGAGGGGTTGGGGCTCGCGACGTGTCCCCATCCATTCCCCCCACCCCACGTGACTGACTCCGCGCACACCCCCCAGCCCTGGGTCACTGTCCTGCAGCCCCTCTGGTGGGCCGTACCACCTGCGCCCCCGCAGCCAGGCCGCGTGAAGGAAGGTGAGACTCCCGGGTCCCCCCACCCCATTACCACCATCACCACCACTCACCCCCTTCTGCCTCACACATCCTCTGGGAGTCCCCCCAGCACAATCCGCCCACCCATTCTTCCCCCTCCCCTGAGCACAGGGGTGTCAGGGGGAGGGGGACCCGGAGTCCCGGCGTGGGCTTGCTGAACCCTGCTTCCTAGACCTGCTGGAACTAATGATGCTGCAGAACGCGCAGATGCACCAGCTGCTGCTAAGTCGCCTGGTGGCTGGAGCGCTGCAGCCCAAGCCGGCCTCGCTGTGCCCTCAGGTGCGTGTGGGTGGGGTCGCTCACCTGTGGGTCCAGGGATGTGGATCCACCTGGGGTTCCTGTTGGCGGGAGGGGGGGTGGTGCGGGAATAACTGGGAGACAGAGGAGCAGGAAGCCAGCCTGTTTCTCTGGCTGGGGCTATTTGGCATCTGTTATGTATCAGGCCCTGTTTCAGCCTCCATGAAAGGTGGGTGGTGGGGGGAAGAGATGCCCCCAAAGTCCAGACCACCCAGGTCTTGTTTTCAAGGATGTTTCCCTGCAGTGCCTTCCTCACTGGACTTCAGGCTCCAGGAAGGCAGGCACCCTGGTAACCCTGCCCCATGCATCATGAGCGTCTGGCCTGGTGCCTGACACTGTGTAGGGGCTTAGCTGATATTTGTTGAACAAGTGAATGAATAAATGAATGGTTAGGGATACAAGGCCAGGTTGGCTGTGATGGCACGTGGAGAGGTACAAAGCACAAGTGCACACAGGGTTGGGGGATGGGGACAGGCTCCTTGGAGGTGCAGGGGACCTTAGAACCAGCCCTTGAAAGCCAGGTAGGATTTTGACCCTTGGAGGAGGCAAAGGTTGTGTCCCTCATCCAGGCTGGCAGGGGCAGAGTCAGGAGACAGAATGGGGGAAACCGTGTGCGGCAGTGTGTGTGTGCAAATGTGTGTATGGGCGCATGTGTGTGCAAGTGGGTGTCTGTGTGCATGCATATGTGTGTGCGAGTGTGTCCGTGTGTGTGCAATCGTATGTGCATGTGCAAGTGGGTGTGTGTGCAAGCGTGTTTGTGCATGCATGTGCGTATAGCTCTAAGGCTGAGCCTTAGCCAATAGTGGGCATCCTGAGGTCAGGAGAAGCAGGGACTGGGTGGAGAGAGAATGCTGGTCAACCTGGAGGAGTCAGAGAGGGGTTCAAGGAATCCAGATAGAGTGAGACCCTAAGGAGCTACTGCTACCCTTCACCCCTGGGTCCCCAGTGATGGCACATAGGTGGGTCCAGGGGCTGGGGGTGAGGCTGGGGACAGCTCAGTGGACTCTTGGACCCAGCTCTGGGTTCACACCTGGAATCAGCTGGGTGGCCAAGTTGCTCAACCTCCTTGAGCTACAGGAGTAAATGTTTCCACAATGCCTTGTCCGCATGTAGTAAATGCTCAATAAACACAAGCCATCCTTTTCTTTTTTTTTTTTTATTTTTTTGAGATGGAGTCTCACTCTGTCACCTAGGCTGGAGTGCAGTGGCACGAACTTGGCTCACTGCAACTTCCACCTCCTGGGTTCAAGTGATTCTCCTTCTTCAGCCTCCCGAGTAGCTGGGACCACAGGCGCCCGCCACCATACCCGGCTACTTTTTCGTGTTTTTAGTAGAGACGGGGTTTCATCGTGTTAGCCAGTATGGTCTTAATCTCCTGACCTTGTTATCTGCCCACCTTGGCCTCCCAAAGTGCTGGGATTACAGGTGCAAGCCACCGCGCCTGGCCTACACAAGCCATTCTTACAAAGCCTATCTGGAGGAAATAACGTAGGGGAATGGAGGAGTAAGGATGGGGAGAGCCTGATCGTGGATTCTCATTTCCCCTCCCTGTTTTGCACAATCCCCAGGTCTCCCTGGAGGTTCCACAGGAAGAGCCTGAGGAGGAAGAGGAGGAGATGGACGTGCAGGAGATAGGGCCTTTGGTGCTTCACCATCACTACTTGCCCTATTTGATGCCCTCCCCGGGTACCCTGCTGCCCTGGCCGGCCCCCTTCTTCCCCGCTCCCGCCTGTCAGCCCCACTTGCGGGATGTACCCAGGATTCAGCACTGTCCTCCTACCTCTAGGGAAAGGGAGGCGTAAGTGAGGCTGGGTGCTGCCAGGGTTCTGCTCTGGGGCTGGGCTGGAAGAGCTGTGCAGGGATGGGTGGTTGGTGGAGATAACTTGTGGGTGAAACCCCAGAGGCCACCTCTGGGCCTCTGATAGGGGTCTTTTTCTCTCCCCCATCTCAGGAGAGCTGTGCCTCCACCCCCACCCCCCAGTGCCACAGGGACTGTGGGCGCCAATGTATCCCCGGCTTCAGGTAGGGCTGGAGTGGTGGGCAGTGGGGCCCAGGCCTGGGAGTGAATCAGGAGGCCAGGAGCGCCCTGTGCACTCTGGTGGGATTTGGGGTTTCCTACCATCACTGCTGCAGGCAACTGGCCTGCCCCCTCCCTTTTCCTCTTTGGAGTCCACTGAGGCAGGAGGGAGTCAAGATGAGGTTCTTGCTTCCCCAGACTACTGTGATGCCGAGAGCCTCCTATGAGGACAGACGCTGGCCCTGGGACCTGCACCAGCTTTGTGCTCTGGATACAGCCCCGGAGCCCCCTCCCGCACCTCTCTTGTCGGCTCCTCTGTGCCCATGGCTGGCGGTCCTTCTCACTCCCTCAACCTCAGCCAGGCCCTCTTCTCCTGGGGAAATCAGTCCCTGCCCCACCCCAATGAGTCCCTGGACGGGTCGGATCTGTGCTGTGGTGTAAGTGCTCCTTAGAGCACCACCCAGGCCCTTGAAGCCACGTCAGCCCGCCTCTGCCCCACTGCTTCCTGCCTGGAGCAGGGGGAGGCCTGGGAACAGAGCCCCCACCCTCTCTCCCTCACCCCTCTCTCTGGGATGATGAGGTTTCCTTCCAGCCTAATAATGGAGCAAGAGGGGAGTGGGGGCTTCCTTCTGCTTTCCACAGCTTTGAAGGCCGCTTTGAGGTGGCTGCAGGGGCCCAGAGTGGTGGGGGAGAGGCCTTGCTGGGCAGCGCCCCCGAGCAGAGTCAGTTCCCTGGGACCCCCACTCGTCGTCCCAGGAAGCAGCTCTGTTGGCAGAAAGGAGAGGTCAGAGCTTTGTCCTGCTGTGATCAGGAGTGGCCTGAGGTCTCCTGGGGCCAGGTGGGAACACTGTGTCCTCTGCCCCCTGGGCCAGGGTGTGTTCCCCCACCCTCCCTCAGTAGGAGTGAGCTACTCAGGCCAGATGGGGGCCCGGCGCCTGGGCTGGGAGGCCCCTGTGAAGGAGAGGGTGGGAAGGGAGGCATCTGGGGAGAGGGGTCCCCCATGGTGGCTCCCCTCCGTGGCCGTTCTTATCCCAGGAGGAGACACTGTGGGCACAGCGCTAAGTCCAGGTGTTTGTATTCGGGCTAGAAAAGGCAATGTCCCGAGTCCCTGCTGCCTGTCACAGTCCTTCGGCCAGCGCTGGACCTCAACCCTGAGGAGTCACACTGAGTTCCAGTGACCACCATGGCGGCAGCCATGCCACTTATGCGTGCTATGGCCGGAAGGCCTGGGGTAGCCTCCTCCAAGCCGCTCGCACCCCGTAGGTGCCCATCCGCCGCTGGCGCCAGTGCTGGCTGAAGATGAAGCAGAGCAGGACAGATGTCACGAACAGGAACAGCAACACTGACACCACTGTGACGATGATGACCATCTGGCTGTCCGGCACGGGCTCTGGGCAGGGAGGGGGCAAGGGTCTTAGACATCCTGTGATCCCAGTTACCAGGGACCAAAAGGAAGTGGAAGTCTACCCCCGACCCAGCCCCCCCAGCCCCCGCCGCCCACTCATCCATCCTGCAGTCACCCCAGGCTGTAGACATGTGTGGTGAATGGTGTCTAAATTAAAATTATCTGGAAAAAAGGTGGCCCAGGCTCAGGCTACCAGCTGAATTTCTGTGAGGCTGTGAGGGCAGATGTCCCTTGTCAGCAGCCCTGGGACCAGTGTGTAGCTGCTGGACACCATGGCCTGGAGGGTGGCATGGTCCCAGCCAAACCCCTTCTTGGGCAGAGCTGAATGAACTTCATGCCAAGCTCCCTGAGGACAAGGAATGTGCCGGCCGTCCAGAGTCACTGAGCAGCAGAGCTCCGGGTACCTCAGGGGAGGCAATCAGGCCAAGCTTCTCATTGTGGAGGGGAGCCAACACAGGGAGAGCAGTCAAGGTCATGGGACTTGATGGTGGCTGAGGAACTAGTTGACCTCTCCCAACCTCTGGACCAGTTGAGGTTCAAGCTGGGGACGCGGAAAGAACTTCAGGGAAGAGGGAGAGTAAGAGGGAAGCCTCAGCGTGAAGGGTGGGCTCCTGGGTGTTTGCTTCCCAAGTGGGGCTTGAGATTTTTCTTCCCCCAAGGGGCTGAAAGTGGCTTCTCACTCCCAACTCCATCCATGGAGCCCCCCTCACCATAGATCTCCAGCATCTTCGGGGCTGAGTGTGTGCAGAAGACTTCACCACCGCGAGACATCAAGTCCAGCACAGCCAGGCAGGAGAAGTTGTGGTGGCCGTCCTCTCTGTGAGCCATGCTGCTGAATGTGGCTGTGGCCTCCTGCAGGGCAGGGGCTGCCTTCCCGAAGGTCTGACTGTGCAGAGTCTCACTGCCACGGAGCAGGCTGAGGGTGAGGCTGTCCAGGGGCTCCACGGCGGGCACCCTGCACTCGATGGTGAAGGACTTGCCCACGGCCACCCAAGTGGGCTGCAGTGTGAGGAAGACCTGCCTTGGAGGCTCTGCAGGGGACAAAGGAGGGAGATCTGGTCAGGATGGGAGTGCAGCCCCAGCAGCCTCCCCCTGGCCAGGGCCATCTCCTGTCACCATGGTGTTCCATGGTCGGGGAGGAGGTGGCCTGGCCAGCTCCAGTGCAGAGAGGAAGAGGGCGGCGGTTGGCGAGGATGGAGGCTGGACTGCATGGTAGTTTTACAGACATGTTGATTTCCGGTGACCAGGCATCTACAAGGACAAGGTTCAGAAATTGTACGGCCAACTGGAAAGATATAAAAGTTTGGGTCTGTCTCCTCTCCTTCAGAAATTAAATACAAATTTCAAAAATTAAGCAGTCGGGTGATCACATTGAGAGAGACTTAGGTGGGCGTGCTCACTGGAACTGGTCACTCGGGGAACTGAGCTGTGAAGTTCCTCACTTAGGAGGCGGGGGCCAGAGCCAGACCTGCCCAGGTTCTCCAGGGTCAGGGCCGTGGCCAGCACGATTCCTCACGTGTGCAACCACCTGAGGGGGTGCCCTGGATTCTCTTTTGAACTAGAATACTTCACCTCCACTCACCCCACCTCCCACCCCGGGAAAATATGTTGGATTTAAGACGTTTTTCTGTTCATTGATCCACTGAAGCTGGTGATGGAATGGACCCAGGTGATACCCTTAGCACCAAGATGTCCTATCCTGGCCCATCTGGAAGGTTTCCATGGCTCATGTGCAGGTGGAGTGTGATGGCCACACATTTGCCATGGGCCCTGAGGGGAAGATAAAAGCCCTGGGCAACACCTCAACCTTCTTGTCATGAGGTGGACAGGCCCAGCTCCCCGGGTGGTGACCCCACTACTTGGTATAGGACTTGGGGTGCGCTGGTGACTCGGCTATGTTGGGAATGACTTCTGGACATGCCTAACCCTTGGTTAGATTGTCCTCCCCTAAGCAAGACTCAAAACGTGGGTTGTCTGTGTCTGAGATGCCAGCAGGCCTGGTCCTACCCCTTGTTACCCCAGGAGCTTAGGGAGGCAGGGCCCACGATGACAGTGTCCAGGAGCAGGCACAGAGGGGCTCTGTGTGCATTCAGTAGACACAGGCTCTGCCCCAGGGGAGAGCAGGGCCCCGCCGCACAGCCACTCACGGTACACGCTGACGTTGGAACTCATTGACTTCTGCTTCCCAGAGCAGGTGAAGTGGCACCAGAGGACCGTGTCATGGGAGATGTTTGAGATCAAGTAATGCTTCCACTGAGTCTGTTCGAGCAGCAGAATCTTATTTAGAGAAGTCTCCAGACCACCCACTTCAGGCTGGTTACAGGTGGTGCTGCAGTTGACCTCGAAGGACTCCTTGGGCTTTACTATCAGCTTCTCTAGCCTCATATGTACCTCAAATGCCTTCTCATCAGATCCTGCAAGACCAGAAACACTGGGCAGTGGTGTCACCCCCCGCCTCCCGCCCTCCAGTGGAGCTGTCCATTGAGGCAGTCTGGCTCCTGGGTCAGGGGCTGAAGAGGAAAGGTCACTGGGGCCCTGCTGCTACTTTCCCCTTGTCAGGTGTCATGGTCCCGGATAGACCAGCAGGCCACCCCCCAGCTGACTCCCCGCCTCTGGCTGTCCTTCCTCCAGCCCCCCAGCTGACTCCCCGCCTCTGGCTGTCCTTCCTCCAGCCCCCCAGCTGACTCCCTGCCTCTGGCTCTCCCTCCAGCCCCCCAGCTGACTCCCCGCCTCTGGCTCTCCTTCCTCCAGCCCCCCAGCTGACTCCCCGCCTCTGGCTCTCCTTCCTCCAGCCCCCCAGCTGACCCCCTGCCTCTGGCTCTCCTTCCTCCAGCCCCCCAGCTGACTCCCCGCCTCTGGCTCTCCTTCCTCCAGCCCCCCAGCTGACACCCTGCCTCTGGCTCTCCTTCCTCCAGCCCATCTGCCCATCAGCTCCAGAGGAGTCTTCCTCAGGCTGTGCTCCATCTCCATGCAGCGGGATCCCACTCACTCTTTAAGGTCAGCTCGAATGTCCCCTCCCCCACGAAGCCCTCCCACAAAGGGCCCTCTGTGGCCCTCCCTCCTTTCCTTTCTTCCACGAACACTTTTTGAACACCTGCTATGTCCAAAGCAGCAGGCTCTGGGGATACAGCAGTGATGAAAGTAGACCAAACACTGCCCTGGCAGAGCTCCACTAAACAGTGACAGGCAGAGCACCCAGCCGGTCACATGGCAGGAAAGCGCCGAGAAAGGAAAACGCGAGAAAGTGGGGGTGAGGCCATTTTAAGGGTGAGGCCACTTTAAATATTGTGCTCCATGAAGGCCTCACCCAGACGGTGACTCCTGGGCAAAGGCATGCAGGGGCATGCCACGCCCTGCAGATACTCAGGGGCAGTGATCAAGGGGAAGGGGGCCAGCAGTACAAAGGCTAGGGCAGGAGGATTGTTGAGCCCAGGAGTTGGAGGCTGCAGTGAGCTATGATCACTCCCTGCACTCCAGCCTGGGCAACAGAGCAGGAACCTGTCTATAATAAAAATTAAAAAATTTAAAAAGTCTCAGCAGGCTGGGCATGGTGGCTCATGCCTGTAATCCCAGCACTTTGGGAGACCAAGGCGGGTGGATCACTTGAGTCCAGGAGTTCGAGACCAGCCCCCACCGTCTCTACAAAAAATACAAAAATTAGCTGGGCATGGTGGCTATCACCTGTGATCCCTGCTACTCAGGAGGCTGAGGTGGAAGGATCACATGAGCCCAGGGAGGTGCAGTGGGCCATGATCATGCCACTGTACTCCAGCCTGGGTGATAGAGTGAGACCCTGTCTTAAAACAAAACAAAAAAACCGAACAACCTTAGTAACTTTTGGGCCTTCTCTTCCACCTGAAGCCACAGGGAACGGGGCACCCCCACCCTCTCGGCTGGCATGTGCCAAATCAGGAACCCTAGAAACCCGGCTTACCTGAACAGCAGACCAGGGCAAAGAGGGCCACGGTCAGGGTCCCGAAACCAAAAGAGGACATCTCCGGCAGTGTCCACGGGCTTGCAGGGACCAGCGAAGGGCTGCCTGGAGGGAGACGGAGGGCGCAGGTCAGAGCGCAGGTCTGACCACGGCCCAGAATCCCCAGCCTCCTGCAAACTGATGACTGCATTTCCTCTCATTATCTGAGAGATCTTTGGGAAGCCACGTGCACCAGCTGGTTCTAGGACCCCAGGCCTCCAAGAATCCAGGCAGAGGAAGCTGGGAAGCCGCTGATAAGCAGGGCATAACCCAGTCCTCCCTGCTGGCTCCTTGTGCAAGGGGCAGGGCAGGCAATGGGTGCACGCATGTGTGTGTGTGTGAGATGGGTGCACGGTGGAGTCAGGCCTACAAGCCCCAGATCTGGGGAACCCCAAATCCCATGGGATGCATTGTTGGAGTCACGCCTGTGAGGCAACCATCCAAAGGCAGGACCTGTCCAGGAAATGCAGTCACCATAGCAAAAGGGGACAGTGACTTGGGCTTTTCTAAGGAAGCCTGGACGGGAATTTGAGCTTCTCCTGCTAAATGCCTGGCGCAAGTCTGCATAAACCTTAATATCCCACTCAGTTTTCTCTCTTCTTTTTTTTTCTTTCTTTTTTTTTTTTTTGAGATGGAGTCTCACTCTTGTCCCCCAGGCTATAGTGCCGTGGCACGATTTTTGGTTTACTGCAAACTGCGCCTCCCAGATTCAAGCAATTCTCCTGCCTCAGCCTCTAGAGTAGCTGACATTACAGGAGCGCATCACCACACCCAGCTAATTTTGTATTTTTAGTAGAGATCGGGTTTCACCATGTTGGCCAGGTTGGTCTTGAACTCCTGACCTCAGGTGATCCGCCTGCCTCGACCTCCCAAAGTGCTAGGATTCCAGGCATGAGCCACCACGCCTGGCCCCCACTCAGTTTTCAACCTAGACTTGATCTTGACTCAGGTGATTCAGGGCCAACCTGAGGCCCAGAGCCTCAGGAAATGCATCCCATAGTAGTCTGCAGCAACCCAGGCACAGACGGAGAATGAGGTCCAGTCTGGGGGCAGCCACACCCCCAAACCATGGCCTCCATTTCCTGGCCTACCTGATGTCCTCCCCTTTCCCTCTCTCCAGGAGGGAGCCTTGGGCTGGGAGGATTGGGGCCTGAGGTGTTTCAGTTTATTCCTAGGGAGGAATCCCCAGAAGCAGTGAGCAGGTATAAGGGAGGGATTTCAATGGAAGAGAGGACCTTCCTGGGGGATCGCCACAGTCTCATCCCCCAGTTCTGCCTAAGATCTCTTTTGCAACCAGGCAGGGAAAGAACAAGTCTCCTTGCTTTCTCAGGGGGAACCCCCGATGGGGCCTTTCCAAAGGGGTGCCCCAGAATCATCAGGGCTTCAGCCAAGCTCCATTCCGGGGTGGGAGGGCAGGGTGAAGTCCTGGCCTTCCCTCACCGCTGAGGTCAAAGGCGGTTACTACTGTGCACAACCATCAAGCACTGCCATTGTTAGCCTGGACCCAGGGACGTCCCTGGACGCAGACGTGGTCGCTGGACTTGGGAATGATGCAGGGAGGAAGGGGCGGGGCCTGGGGCCAGCAAAGAAAAGGAGAACAGGGTGGAGCTTCACCCCCAGCCTGGAGGAATCTGATTTCATGTGAGGCCAGCAAAGTCCTGAGAGCAGGAAACACTCCTGAAACCCAAGCCAAGGGCTGAGGAGGTGGTTCCAGGGACTGCGACAAAAGGGTGGGGATGGGGACATTGCTGTAGTGGAGACTCTGTGTCCTCCACTGAGTCAGAATAATAATAATAACAATAACAACAGCAATAATAATACTAGTAAACATTTACTTACTACTTACCAGCAATAATAATAATAGTAAACATTCAGTCGTGCACTGTCACAAGTATTCTATAAATATGAACCAATTAATCCCCTAACTCTGTGAGGCAGGTACTGTTACTGTCCCCATCTTACAGATGGGAAAACTGAGGCACGGCAAGGTTAAGTGACTTGTTCAAGGTCACATACCTAGAAAAAATGAAGTCACTATGAATGATAGCCTGCCATGGTGACTGTTGAAACCCGCCCTAGCAGGCGCAAGAAGAGGATTGTTAGGAGCCAGGTTCCCAGGAGACCCTCAAGAGGGAAAAGCAACACAGCAGAAGGCCAGAGGAAGGTTCTGGGGCCTTCCTCGCTGTGAGGGACTGGGGGAAGGTGGGGTGATCCACACCTGGAGTGCTCCAAACAGCTTCTGGAAGGGACAGTGCTTGGGAATCCCGCTGGCACACACAGCAGGGCAAGCCTGATTCCCTCTTCAAGCAAGGCCTCTGCAGTCCAACATCCTCCCCGAAAGCACAGGTCCCAGTTTCCAGCCCCCATCTCCTCCTGTGATGTCTCCCATCCTTCCTGGGCAGGCCTTGCTTGGCTGGGACACACGGGGCATGTGACCATCTATTTGTTAGAAATATTTACTGCTTTCTAACCATTAACACATCAACCTCCCTGCCTCCTCACTGGCCCATCAGCCATGAGGGCAGAAGCTGAATCTCATGTACTGCTATATCCACCCAGTGTAGGACACTGCCTGGCACACAGTAGGTGCTTCATCACTGTTGAATTGGTAGATGGATGCTTGCATGCATGGATTAGTGAATGAATGAGAGAGTTTGTCCTAAACAAGCTTGGGCAAAGGCTGTTTCTATTTTTAGGTCCTAAGCATTTATTGTTTTTGTTTGCCCAGCTTCTTCCTCCTGCTACTGCTAAAGTCTCTGCTCCCCAAGGCCACAAGGCTGACCTTATAATGTAAATAAGGCCAATCATGGTACCTTACTCCTCAAGGATGGGCACTTTGAGTTAGGCCTGAGCAGAGGTTTTCTTGAGACGGAGTCTCGCTCTGTCGCCCAGGCTGGAGTGCAGTGGCGTGATCTTGGCTCACTGCAAGCTCCGCCTCCTGAGTTCAAGGGATTCTCCTGCCTCAGCCTCCTGAATAACTGGTATTACAGGTGCCCACCACCACGCCCAGCTAATTTTTGTATTTTTAGTAGAGACAGGGTTTCACTGTGCTGGCCAGGCTGGTCTTGAACTCCTGACCTCGTGATCTGCCCGCCTCTGAGCAGAGATTTTCCTGGGACTTTCTGAACCAGAGCCGGTAGGAACACACCCTTCCCTTTCTAGTCCTAACACTAGACGCACATGAGCCAGCAACTGTGCGTGCTCATGCCCCACAACTGAAGAAGTTGAAAGGAAGGAAAGTCAACTCAGTGTAGGAGGGGCCCTTAACCCAAGATGGAAGGTGATCTAGAGTTGTTAACGGGGAAAGTGCTGGTTGTGGGGGTAAGGGGTGGACTCTGATGGGTGGTGGGCTGGGTTAGGTGCCAGGCGATGACTCTGTGTTCACTCAGGACTCGTGTTGCAGAAGTGAAAGAGCTTTCCAGGCTGAACACAGTGGAAAGTTCTGACCCTTCAAATCTGACCATGGGAGTCAGGACTGGACATGGGTCCTTGTGTACAGAGAGTTACTGTGAGGCTTGCCCTACAAAATGTCCGGGACAGAACAGGAAAAGAGCTTGCAGCACACTCAACATTAATCATTAGGTCAGCATGCTCTCTGACCTGCTTCCTCATAGTTGCTCAGTGCCTATTGCCCCAGAATTATGCAGACTCTGTCACAGGATTAGAGTTCCCTTAACTGCTCTAAAGGTAACAGCTTGAACATTATAAAATGTTAACTTTTCTCTTTGAGATATTCTTTCAGTGCCTGCATACCAGTGAAAGCACTCATGCCAGCTGGTCCGAAGGACCCCACTGGTGCCAGCCAGTCTGAGGGACCCAATTGATGCCAGCTGGCCTGAAGGACCCCACGAGGAGCTGACTCACAAAAGAATGCAGTTTCCATATTCCGATGATTTTATCCCCTTACCTTGACCAGTCATTGACCCCAGTTTACCGGCCTCTTGCCCTCCACAATCTCCTCTAAAATCCCAGCCCAGAACTCTTTGGGGAGATGGATTTGATGGTCTTCCCAATCTCCTCACCTGGTACCCTGGGATCATTAACCTTTTTCTCTGCAGCAAACCCTGCTGTGTCAGTGTAATTGGCCTGTTGCTGCACAGCAGTGGCCATACACACCTGTTGGTCCTGTAACACAGGAATAAGAGGAAACTAACCATGATGTAGAAGAGAGAAGAAACTGGGGGTCCTTCCTGGAAAATTGTTTTCACCATGAAATGTCTCCTGTTTTGCTCTCTGGATCCCTAAGTTTCTCAAGGAAGGGGGCTATAAAACGGGAGGAGTTAAGATAGTTCTGGAAAACATGAGAGAATTTTTGAGGGGAGGGGAGATTACAGTCTCAGTTTAGAAAGTGCAGTGGCACGATCTTGGCTCACCACAACCTCCACCTCCCAGGTTCAAGCGATTCTCCTGACTCAGTCTCCCGAGTAGCTGGGACTACAGGTGCCCGCCATGATGCCCGGAGAGCCACAAAGCTCTCCCACAGAGCTTTGGAAGGATTAAACTGTGACTGGGTCCTAATCCAATGACTTGCCTCTCTTGTTTGAAAAAAAAAAAAAAAAACTATTAATGTAGAATTGTGTACCCAGCAAAACCATCTTTCAAGAACCAAAGTTAACAAAAACAGATAAACAAAAGGTTTATTTATCCCCCCAAATACCTAAATGAACATTTAAAAATGTGCTTCAACAAGAAGAAAAAATGATTACAGAACAGTTTGCTAGGCAAAGAAGGGCAAGAAAATAAAATGGCAAATGAGTACACAACTCCAAACAAATATTGTTTACAATAATGGTAATATTAATAATTATAATGTTTATTTTGAGAAGTTTTTAGAAGTTCAAAACTACTGGGTAAGAATATATAAGGAAGGATTGGAGTTAAAGCATTCTAAGATTCTAACTTGGAATGTTTAGGAGGAGGACACATTTTAAGTTATATAAGGAATGGGAGAAAATATATGCAAATCATACATGCAATAAGGGGCTAATATCCAAAATATATAAGAAACTCAACTCAATAGCAAGAAAAAAACCCCACAATTTTAAAATGGGCACAGACCAGCCCAA